CTGCCCTAAAGCCCCGACTGGTGGAGGGCTGCAGTGGTGGTTGACTTTCTACAACTTTCTCCCATCTCCTGACTGCATCTCTGGAGCTCAGCCACAGTCATCTTTGGGTTCTTCTGTACCTCTCTCACCAAGGCTCTTCTCCCCTGATAGCTCAGTTTGGCCGGACGGCCAGCTCTAGGAAGGGTTCTGGTCGTCCCAAACGTCTTCCATTTAAGGATTATGGAGGCCACTGTGCTCTTAGGAATCTTAAGTGCAGCAGAAATTTTTTTGTAACCTTGGCCAGACCTGTGCCTTGCCACAATTCTGTCTCTGAGCTCTTCAGGCAGTTCCTTTGACCTCATGATTCTCATTTGCTCTGACATGCACTGTGAGCTGTAGGGTCTTATGTAGACAGGTGTGTGGCTTTCCTAATCACATCCAATCAGTATAATCAAACACAGTTGGACTCAAATGAAGGTGTAGAACCATCTCAGGGATGATCAGAAGAAATGGACAGCACCTAAGTTAAATATATGAGTGTCACAGCAAAGGGTCTGAATACTTTAGGACCATGTGATATTTTAGTTTTTCTTTTTTAATAAATCTGCAAAAATGTCAAAAATTCTGTGTTTTTCTGTCAATATGGGGTGCTGTGTGTACATTAATGAGGAAAAAAATGAACTTAAATGATTTTAGCATATGGCTGCAATATAACAAAGAGTGAAAAATTTAAGGGGGTCTGAATACTTTCCGTACCCACTGTATAATCTACCAGTATAAATATATTTAAATGTAGGATCCAATGAAATATGCACTTCAACACATCTTCAGTGATGGCTTCATACTGCACTAGTGGATGTAACTAAAAAAATCTGACGACTGAACTCATCACTAATTAAAATAAAATCCTGATGATTAGTCTGTCCTGTCAAATAACAATGTTTTTTATCCATAACTGGACTTAAATGTCTTCCCTCCTGTCCAAGCAGCCTGTTTCAACTAGAAACACACCACACGATGGACATTATAACACCACTTCAAATGAATTTTAAACCAGCCAATATTTGATTTGAAAAGTGAGAAGCTCACCTATGAGAAGTACTGTACCCACTGCTAATCCACCACCTGTTTGTGGAGAAAAAAATATTGGTTATTATAAAAGAATTATTGATTCTTCAATTATCAGCAGTTACATATTAAAGACACTGTCTTATTCTGAATCACTGTGAACCAGCTAAACAAAATTCCAGCATCACTGATTTTATAAATCTGTCCTTTTCCTACTGTGATATGTCAAAAAGACTTGTCAAACATCTTCTGTGATATAGCCTATTGGAAAATAGGCTTGGGGGAGAGATGTCTCAGAAGACCGTTAAAAGGTAGTTGACAGATGTGCGAGTCTTTGTGAAATTGCGACATTTTCCCCCCCATTTATCCTACAGTGCTCTGGGGCTCTGCTGGGGTTTTATGGGTGATAATGTGAGACTACAATGGTCCTAACATACCTAGACTTACAAAACAAGTAAAGTGACATCTCAACTGTTGTCATACCTAGAAACTCTTACAACACAATTGAACATTTGTATGTTCAAACAGCTGTTACATTACTATCATAAAACCAAACATATCAATTATTTGGTGAATTCAAATTCTTATTTCCCAGATACAGAAGACAAAACAAGCACCAGTGACCCAGTGATTCTATATTTATAAGTTTAAGATGAAATGGAAAGTCATCCATATTTTCTTGTCTTAAAATATGACACAGTGGCCACAATATCCCCAAACATTTTCTGAGAACTACTGGAGAAGCCCAGAGATAATCACTGAGGATAAAGATCATTTGTTTTATTTCATTTAAAAATTTTCCAATGTATTTTCTCCTAGAAGATATTATACATTACAATGGCTTCTCACCCCTTAGTGTGACATTAATATCCGTTATCAAACCTTAGTTTATTATTATTGCCCAGTTTTACTAAGCATTAAAAATTATGACAGAATAAAATCACTACTCAAAAGTGCGGGCTCTAAATGTAATTTCAAAGATCTTGCATTGAATTCTCAATTTGATGTGGAGCCAGGGTAAAAAAGATAAAGACTGCTATTAAATGTTCCTCTGAGATGACCCGGTCAAAAGCTTAGCAGTATCATTCTGGTTCACCTGTAAACAACTCAGTGGTGTTTTGCTAAGACAAATGAAAAGGGAGTTGGGGTCATCTAAAGCATCAAACCCTTCACATGGTCCAGAGTCAGTGCTTGGTTAAAAGTCAGATTTTTGACTGAGGATTTCACACCTGAAGAGAAAGAGCCAAGGTGTCTGTGTATGCTGGACATGACTAGCAGGGGCACAAACAAGGACCTCTGTTTAATCATGCCAAATACCATTCAACTTGTTATACACAACTTTTGCTGTCTAGTTCTACAGCTGTCATTTGCTTTTTTTTTTAAGTAAAAAGAAGTAAATACAACTCCTGGAAGAGACATTACAAAATTAGCCCAAGGGTGCACAAACGTTTGCATAATTCTGTATTCTAATCTCATGTTACAGGAACTGGAAGGTGTTATTAGACAGTGAAATGGATTTTGGCAGCCTTGACAATTAAACATGGCTTGTCACTTCTACTGAAGAATTTGCTTTTAAATAGCCACTGTTACATGAATAAGCATTAAGATTCTACAGGGTCTTTTTGGGTCCTTGCTGATTTACGTTACAAAGTGTGGAGAATGCTTCCATCAGTAAGGTTAGGCTATAAAAAGATTTTTTTAAATGTCTAACTTGAATACAGAACTTCAAGCAAATACCTCTAATATGACAAATTCCGACAAAATGTGCTTATATGAATCCATTCTTCCATTAGCTTTTACGCAATCACATTAGTTTGTCCTGTCCTGATAGCGACACAACTCTCTAATGTTATTCTGTAATAGATACATTTCCCTTTTGAGAAATTCATTATACTAACATTTTGTAACTAACGCCAGTGTATCAAGCCAACCTTACAGCGAGAAACACTGTTAGCATGTGTAGCTAGCACTAATGATAAACCTCAACGGCAGACTGACCGAGCAAATAGTCGAGTGATGTAACACCAGTTGAAACTAAGAGCTGTCCATTTTGAACCGAAGGTCTGGTACCAAGTATAGAAATTAACTTGCTCCTTGTTTTCTTCTGAAAACTCGTAGCATTACTACTGAACGATGAACGCTCAGCTGAGAGTTTACCCACGCTGTTTAGTGGAGCTGCCATACTTCTAGTAACGTGATGACGCTTGTTAATATTTTGATGTGTGTTGTCCAATCAAAGAAAACTTTGGTAGACCTTGACCAATCAGGGCAGCGGTTGTTGCAGAACTGCTCACGGAAGTTGTTGAAGGTAAATCTCATTTGTTTTGGTAAATGCACAGCGTTGAATCGCAGGCTCATAGGTAAGTTTGTTAGGTGTTTTCGCTTGGTATATTTTTATTTCGCCGAAAAACAGTTTATATGTTCTTTGTAATATCTGCAAGCTATTGAATGCCTTAAATGTCCTGGCTTTGTGCAGCTATGATCTTGTTCGTTCGTAGCATTAGAGAATCAGGATTGTGTTCGACAGAGCTTCTTCATCGTCTCGTTTTCTTAGCAAGCACAGTAGAATTATCTACAACTGACTGTAGCTAATTATAATTGTCAATGTATAACAAGTAATAATAAACTTTACAAGCATTATTTCCTCTTCTGGAGGCGAGAATATATGTCAAGCCAAAGTTAGATGTTTAAAGTGAATGTAAAGGAGAGAACATAGCCCAAACGTATTAATTGGGAAATGATGTTTATTTAAAGGGGCCAGTTGTAACGTTACATTAAATTGCTTCACTGTAGAATAGAGTGCTTTAAGTGTCACTGAATTTTCGAAAACTGATCGAAACTGTGTGTAACAAGATAATATACTGCAGCGTCTGAACGTTTTAAAAACACAGCAACATGTAAATGAATGTAATTACTGAACCCGTATGGAAAGCACTTACAGCAGAGTTTCCCCTTATCATTCATAGTATGTGCATATCTCCACACAAAACACCATTTACTCTAATATAACATGTTATTTGTAAATCCTAAATGTTAAAAAAACAAAAATGCTTGGTGCCAGTGTATGAATGACAAATAGCAAAAGAGTATTGATCTGTGATGTGATGCAAAGTATGATGTGTAAGTACTGTGATGCAAGAGCATATATCACATTATCTGCATTGATAAATCCCACCTTCATTCTATTGTTTTCTATTCCCTGTCAAACAATGTTTTTATAAAGACAATACGAAACTGTCTATTAACTTATATCCTCAGGTGAAAGCAGGTCTTGTGTATGTAATGTAATGTAATGTCATTGTAGTTGGAGAAATGCATTATAGTAACGAGCAGTTTTGTGTGCCTGTGAACTAGGGTTGCAATGGTGTGAGATTTTCATGGTATGACAAACGTCTCAGAAAATATCATAGTCTCACTGTATTAAGGTATTACACAATTGCTATTATTATCGGCAATAAGGACCCTTAAAGGAATGAAAACAAAAGGGTCTTTTAATTGCAGGTGACTGCTGTTTTTTAAACATGATTTTTAAAAAAGCATATCAATATAACATGTTATATTATTGAACATGTTATATTATTGTTAGTTTGATTGTTAGTGCCAGTAGTAGTGGAAGCATTCCTATCCGTTATTTAAGTAAAAGTACTAATATCACACCATAAAAGTAGCTTACTCTGTTACAAGTAAAGTCCTGCATTGGAAGTGTTGAGTAAAATTACAGTGGGTACAGAAAGTATTCAGACCCCCTTCAATTTTTCACTCTTTGTTATATTGCAGCCATATGCTAAAATAATTTAAGTTCATTTTTTTTCCTCATTAATGGACACACAGCACCCCATATTGACAGAAAAACACAGAATTTTTGACATTTTTGCAGATTTATTAAAAAAGAAAAACTGAAATATCACATGGCCATAAGTATTCAGACCCTTTGCTCAGTATTTAGTAGAAGCACCCTTTTGAGCTAATACAGCCATGAGTCTTTTTGGGAATGATGCAACAAGTTTTTCACACCTGCATTTGGGGATCCTCTGCCATTCCTCCTTGCAGATCCTCTCCAGTTCTGTCAGGTTGGATGGTAAACCTTGGTGGACAGCCATTTTCAGGTCTTTCCAGAGATGCTCAATTGGGTTTAAATCAGGGCTCTGGCTGGGCCATTCAAGAACAGTCACGGAGTTGTTGTGAAGCCACTCCTTCGTTATTTTAGCTGTGTGCTTAGGGCCATTGTCTTGTTGGAAGGTGAACCTTCAGCCCAGTCTGAGGTCCTGAGCACTCTGGAGAAGGTTTTCATCCAGGATATCCCTGTACGTGGCCGCATTCATCCTTCCCTCGATTGCAACCAGTCGTCCGGTCCCTGCAGCTGAAAAACACCCCCATAGCAGTATGCTGCCACCACCATGCTTCACTGTTGGGACTGTATTAGACA